CCAGCCCTAGCTCAAAAGGCCACCTTGCTCATTGCAGTTGTCTAATAGCTAGATGCAAAACAATAGGAAATGCTGCAGTGCATAGTAGTTCTAATCAAAACGGGACCGCCAACCTTAGCAAGGGAAACCGGGGACCGCCAACGTTAGGAAAAAAAAAAAGTGCTCCGCCGCTGCAGGAAGTGTTGGAGTGTTGGACACTTGAATCAGCATCCTCGTTACGGTTTAAGAGTTTTGGGTACTTGGTGCCTTAGTAATCCTTGACCCTAGACCAACACCCCCCCCCCCCCTTGCACAACCTGCTCGCTTACGTTAGTCTTGTGGATGCGAGGCCCGAGTGTTCCATTTTGGCGCTTTGCGATGGCAAGCGGATTGCGGTGCTGCCGCCCGCCCAGGACCGGGTTTAGCGTCCAGGGTCTTGAGTTTTGGAGTATAGGGTGTTGTGGCGGATCTAGGCCTTTGAGTTCGTCTTTCAGGGTTAGGGTGTTTCTGCTGCATGTCACGGGACTTCAAGCTGATACAAAGGCGAGAGGTTCGGCGGGTCCCGAGCGGCAAGCACCCTAAAAATCCCCTACACCCCATTGTTCGAGCCTTGCAGCATCCCTTCAGAGTTGGCTGATTCGTGCAGTCACGTCGGGTGCAAGATAGGTTCAGGGTTGGTGACAGCTGTGATTCGCGCTTCTGCCGCCGTTGCCAGGACCACAAGCGAATCTTCGATGGCGACCGCGGCCCCAACACAGGTGTGTTGTTTTTGGGGGTTTCGGGGGCAGGAGCGTCCATGAAAGTCACCACGACAACCTTGCTACCGGACCCTGGATCACGTGGGCACACACGCCTGGAAAGTTCTGACTTGAATCAGCTTGAACTGACGGAGTGTTACGCCATCATGGTCTCCTCAATTCCACAGCCGTAACTGACCATCCGCTATCCCCAAGCGACGTCTAACATCTCCCACCGGAGGTGGCATGGGTGCCTTCGCGCCGACTCCGGTGACGTTCTCGGTGAAGAGTCCATGACACTAGTCGCTCGAAAGACCACGTAGTCAAGTTGGGCCACGGTATAGCAGGCATGGAGCCTGAAAGGGGCTTCAGAACGGCGTAGCCGCCCGGTGATCTCTTCCGCACGAAGGTTGTCAAGCCCGAGATGATGGAGCAGATCAGGAGGGCAGGGCTTCTCTTGGACCAAAGAAGTTAGAAACTGCAGACACTCCTCGATCACAGACTCTAGAACTTGGAGACCAGTTGTGGCGACGGCTCACTGAGCAGGGACAATAGCCAGAATCGTCGCCATCACCACCACCACCACCATCATCATCATCGTCGTCATCATCATCATCATCATAATCATAATCATCATCATGTCATCATCATATCATCCTCATCATCATCATCATCATCATCATCTCCTTCACTATCATAGTTTGCAGCATGACCATTATCACCATCGTCTTCCTCGTTTTACTGGCGTTGGGTACCAGATTGCCAAAGCTAGAAGTATCACTGGCAGCAGGAAAGAGATCCTCATGCCAACCATCGATGGCCTGCGAGCAGAAGGCACAGGAATGTCATAATTAGTACTATTGTATTGCTATTTCCCATACTATTTTTTCCCATTAGTATTGTGACTCTTAATAGCTGTTAATATTCGTAATATTACTGCTGTCGAGAATGCAATATTGCTAACAACCATGGAATAAACTTCCAATTATGGCAGCAACGAGAAGAAGAAGCCGCGCAAGCACACCGCAGCAAGGTCCACAGTATATGTGCTCAGCGAATAAGTTTTCATCAAGAGGCCGGGGCACTGGTGAGGTATTCGGAGAGGCCTTCTTGCTAGAGCATGGCTCGAATGACGAATGACCGAACGGCGTGCGATTCGTTCCCGAGATCCCGAAGCCGCTACGCCTTAAAGGGCCCTGGCCCCTTGTAGCAATTCTACACCGTAGGCAAGCCCTTCATCGGCTGTCTCTTCGCCGGTCTCATGATCACGGCGAACGGTCCGAAGGCCTGGGGAAGTGGCTGGCCCGTGGAATCTTGAGAGCACTTACGAACATGAGCAGAGTAGCATAGGCTTTAGAGTTCAAGGTTGAGGGTTTTGGGTTTCAAGGTTTGGGGCTGCATTGCTGCGCTTTTCGCGGCTCCACCGGTGCCCAGGTTATCGCTGCAAGAGATTCGGTCGAACATGCCAGGAAAAACCCCTGCCCCGGCATCCGAAAACCACTGGCGCTGCCCGGAAATCAATCACCGGCTTTCTGCCATGCCCTAAAGCCTAAACTTACTGTATGCGTACACCTGTTCAGCTCCCATTGCGGTTGCGGACATCAGATCTCGACATCTCTCTGTGTGTGTGCGCGCAGGTTGCCATCATGTCGTAGTTTCGGAACACTTAAGATGCATAACTTCCTTGCCGTCAGACCCCTCAGGCTGTCGTCACCCCCCCCCNNCCCCCCCCCCCCCCCCCCCGAAATTGGCAGTGTGCTGTCGGAGCTCGCCGAAAGGTCCACCTCCCAATGCTAACTGCCGCGGTAAGCTTAGGGGCAAAAGCTACTTTATGAGCGCCAGAAAGCTAAAGCCAGCAAATCCCAGGACGATTGGAAATCTAAACCCTGAACTCCCCTCAACGACCCTTATTCCAAAGCGGAACCCCCCCCCTAAACCCTAAAACCAAACCCTAAACCCTAATCCCCCAATCATAAACAGGCTCCTACAGACCTGCCTCCACCATCATGGTATTCTGGACACCTTTTCAGGCGGACGGAAGAGAGGTGATTAAAAACAACCCTAAACCCTAATCCTAATCCCTAAAGCCTAAACCCAAAGCAGATGGCAGGTCATTGAGTTCAACTGCCGCTTCGGTGACCCAGAGACTCAGGCTGCCCTGAGCCAAGCTGACCTCTTCCCGTGTCAGGGGTTCTGTAGGGGGGGCTACAGCGTTGGTTTTGAGCAGGATTTCAATCGGGTTTTGCAGGGGTTTGTGGGAGTTTAAAACGTCTTTAGGAAGGCATTATAGATGGTTGGGGTCATTGGGGCTTTTCCGACTCACTTCAGGGCTTCAGGGTTGTAGGGTTTTTGGGAGTGAAAGTTGGCAGTATGCCCATGGCATCCTTGAAAGGCTTTTGCACCTTTTCTCCCAAAGCCTTGCGTCTAGAAAACCCCACACCATCGACCATGGCCTGGCAATGCATGCACTGCAGCCAGCAGGGCGAGTGTTAGATCCAGCTTCGCTTCCAGAAATCATGGCAGGGCATGTAGAAAGCTCTGCTGCGTGAAGCCGCCAGACGTGGTAGTGATGCCATGACTGCCATGAAGCCAGCCTTTGCTTGAGCTTCTCAGGTCTTGCCTCTGCTGGAGTGTGCCGCACGCCTAGTGGCCACATGCCACATGCTGTTTGGATCCCAAATTTCAAAGCTCTGAGCATCCTCCTTGACCCCATTGGCAAACCGAGGACCTCTACCACGTTCTCAACTCTTGTGCGCAAGGGGAGCTGGTAAACCCAGACACCGCCATCGGCGTGTCGGAGGTGCCCGCAAGGGATGCTCTGCACAAGGGAAGCTTACTTACATGACAGCTACCCGACAACGCTAAGCTACAGCGGCCTTCATGACACTTCATGACCAGATTCAGTCTCAGAAGCAGAGTGCTTTTGTCTGTCAGAACACCTGCGCTGTCTCCGTCACCATGGCCAGCGGTGCGCCCGCTTGGAGATGACCGTTTTCTACAGGGATTCGCATCCCTCTCCGCAGCCTACCCTCAACTGCAGAGATAGCTGCCTGAAGAGTTGCCGGTAGGGCTGGAGGTTGAAGCATGCAGTGGGCTCTGTCAGGGTGTGATATGAACTGAGCTTGTGTATAGAAAAGAAAACACTCATACATACAGTTACATACATATTATATGGATGTACATGTATATGTATTTGTACATATACACATACATACATACATACATACATACATACATACATACATACATACATACATACATATACATACATATACATACATACGTGCATGCATGCATATGTACACCCTGTATATATATATATATATACATTATATAACACAAGCAGCAACACCAACAGTTCCCTGTGCCATTGGTAGAAACCTCAAGCGGCGCCAAACCCCGCCCTAAAACCCCTAACCCTAGGCCCTAATGTGGAAGCCTACAAAATTACCACTATTATTCCTTAGGGTTCCCTGGTATAATTATAATATAAAGGAATCCAAAACCCTATTCTAATGATTAAGGCCCCTACATTACGCCCCAAGATCCCCAAGCCCTTAAGCCTAAACCCTAAACCCAAAGCCCTAAAGCCTGAGTGACACGAAGCCCTTAAACCTCAAGGACATGCGAAGCCGGAGCCCGCCCGAGAGCCCCAACATCGAAGCCCCCTCACCTTGAAGTCCCCGAGCCCGGAAGCCCTAAACCCTAAACCCTAAACCCACCTAAGTGGGGGGGCCCCGAAACCTGAGGGCTTCCCGTTTGGGGCTTAGGGCTGAGGGTTTTGGGCTTAGGGCTCAGGGTTTAGGGCTAAGGGTTTAGG